TAAAACCAGTTCTTTTCAGACGTCACATGAAAAGATGCACCAGAATCAAGTATCCACTCATGGATGCGGGATTAGCAGTTAGGTTTAATTCAGCAGTGTATGCAACTGGACTTATAATCATATAGACCTCACCACCATTTATATCGGAAGTAGATGCTAACACATTTACCTCATCTCTTTCCTTAGCCTTTAGCTTACCATTCTCCTTATGACAATCTTTTATAAAATGCCCTGTATTTCCACAACCATAGCATTTTCTCGCCTTAGTCCTAGATTTTGATCTAGACCTACCTTTGCTCTTCTTTTTCCATCCATTACCACTTGACTCGCCACTAGTTTCATATCCTTCATGACTATTTTGCCTAAATTGAGTTCTACCCCGCATCATATGTACCTCACCATTCCTCTTATCATGTTTTTCAGCCCTAATTTCCATTTCTTTACTTTTAAGGAAATCTATGACAATTTCAGGTATTAACGTGTCTCTACCATACTTAATGGAGTTCTTAACTTCCTTATAGGAATTAGGGATTGCATTGAGCAAAATTATAGCCTTATAAGTTTTGGACACAGTCTCATCACAATTAACTATGTCTTGCACCAATTTGGTAAACACGTCTAGATTGATATAAAGATCCTTTGAGGAATCCATTTTGAAATTGAAAAAACATTCAAGCAGGTAAAGTTTATTCGGTGTAGACTTAAGCAAATACAAGTCTTCTAATTTCTTCCAAAGTTCTTTAGTGATTTTTAATTTACCCACCTTTCTTAAAACGACGTCAGACAAGTGTAAAATAATTGAGGTATAAGCAAGCTCATCGGCTTCTTCTCTTTGTTCTTGTGAAAAATCAGTTGAAAAATTACCTTCAACGGCTTTTGAAACATTTTGTTGGACTAAAATACCCTTCATTTTTTGTTGTCAAATAGTAAAGTCACCCTTTCCATTAAAAATTCCCAAATCGAAACTGTGAGTTGTCATCTTTACACAATAGTCAAAAATGCACAAACCACAATCAAACCACACAAAGTAGTCCTAGGGTCACAGACAATATACACCGTTCTAGATTCCCAGGGTTTCGTAAGACTCGCGGTCTTAGATCAAGGGAATGTTCAAACGGGTAAGGTCACGGTATTTCTAACAGAATAAGTAAGCAGCGGAAATAACAATGCAGCAAAAGATACGTCTAGTAGATAACTAGTCCCATAATAATTAGATCACTAAGAATTACAAAACTGATTTTCACCAAAAAATAAATACTCAATCAAAAAATATCAATCAAGAGTACGTAACCCTAATTCTAGCACAAGTAATGGTTGCCAAGTAATGACAACCCCCAACCTATTGTCACCCCACACGGTGACGCGCTAATGCTGAAAAATTAACGGGTTAAGCCAATTTACCAGAGCGGACGTGTCTGAATTCGTATAATCGAGAGAGATGCGAATCTACTGCTTTAGGACCACAATCTTGGCCTAAAGTAATTCAGTAGATATATGCAGTTTCAAACGTCGATCCACCGGGGGCAAAATTGTTCAACTTTTTCTGTGTAACCTGAAATAGAAAATAAACAGTGTCAGTGCGTTCAGTGGATTAAAATGAGCAAATTACCCGAAGGAAGTTCGCCCGGAATCGCCGCCACGCGCCACCGCCAAAGTCCCACGCGCCACACACGAAGGGGCGCCTCAGCCTGCTGGTTCCGAATATGGGATCGGTTTCATCGGGAAGTGACTGGATTGGCCGGAAAAGAGGATTGCAGTCACGATTTTACACTAAACTCGCGACTCCACCGCCGGTTTTTGCTGATTTTCAGGCCAAGGAAAGTTACTCTCGCTCTGATACCAGATGTTGAACAATCGACCTCCGATGGTGGATTTTTCGAGCTCAGTTTAACCAATCTTTATCTTATTAAACACACCCAACAAAGGCTCCAACCAAAACAATGGTTTTTACTTCGGTTGCTCAACTCAATGTGTTCACAAAGAACACAATATGGTGGTTGCAATGAATCACAAAAAATAGAGGAAGACAGATTCAGTTTAAGGCTCAAGAGAGAAAACTAGAGAAAAATGTAGGCTACCTCTTTTCAATTGCACACACACGTGGCTCATTCACAAATGAGGGCAATATATAGTTTTAGGGTGTAATAATATAATGGGCTCATGGACCAACTAATGGTTAAAGGGGGCGGAACACAAATTGAGCTATCCAAGAAGTAAATGGATCGTGAGCAACATTAACTATATTATGTTGCTTCAAAAGACCCTCAAGTTGTTTTTCAGGTTGAGCCAATTAATCGAGTGTGTTAATAAATATTTCAATCATCGACCAAGGCCTATGAAATCTAATCTGACTATCCGACACTGTTTAACATCATCGCCCGGAATTATTGGGTATCAAAAACCCAAGAGAAGCCATTAAGAGGATGCAAGTTGGCGAATTGTCTTTTCGACTCATTTCTTAATAATTGAATAAATGCAGCCCATAAAGAAGCAGGTTTTCAATCTTTTTGCGCTTCGATTTCAGACGTGCTTACTTTCGAAGACTCCATTTCAGAGTCCTCACTTCTAAAGAAGTTCTCGAGAACCGTATCAACCACAAATTTTTTTTTTGTTATTATTACTATTATTATTTTTTAATTGCCTATTCTTTCGATTGATGATGAAAAATGAGAATTCTTGGTTCAATTCCCCATCTCAACGGCCAATTTTGAGCAAATTTATGGCAATTAGTGCTAACAAACAAGAAGATGACTTCAGAGGAAACATACTCATAAAAAGAAAGCACGTAAATGCAAATTCTCTTGTGCTTCTCTAATCAACATGCTTAAACATTGTTAGAGATTAAACTCATACCCTTGTGTTTATACTGATATCTCAGTATTTTATTTAACTAAGCAGAGTAGAATGCCAAATTTAAATAGATGAGCTCATTCAATTCAGAATAGGCAAGCTCCAATTAAGTTTAGGTCTTAATTTTGATACTGGGTTTTATAGTTAAGCAATTCTCTTCTCCAGGGTTTCAAATTAGAATTTTCCAACCCGAATTCTACATCTCAATTATCCAAATTTGTTAAAAGTTTCCAATTGTAAATTAAGTTTCTGTTTTGGGGTTTTAATTTCTCTCTCGATAGAGTAAAAGTTGTACCTTGTTTCTAGCAGAGTTGTAGACGGATAACTGCAATGGCTTCGTACAGGCCATTCCATCCACCGCAACAGTCAACATTCGCTCCTCCACCCCCAGCGCCGTCGAATCAAAGTCTTCTTCAGTCTTCAGTACCACAACCAACGCAGGGCAATCAGTACCCTAAAAACTGGGGTCCTAATAGCGGCAAAGATGGTTCGGCATACAATCAGAACTATGCCCAAATGAATCTAAGCTCAAATTATCAAAATGCAGGCTACAGATCATCATCTTGGGGAGGGACGAATGGAGAGAGGAGAGGCGTGAAAGAGAATAGGGTTTGAGTTATTTTGGGTTTCTATCATTTATTTTATTTGGAAATTTTTTTGAATGTTTTTCACGACGTTTATTAACTGTTACGAAACATAGAACCTTATGCAACACTCAATAAATGTTGTGAAAATATTCTTTTAGCAACGTTTACCAAATGTTGCAAAAGGTTCACTTTTTGCCACGTTTATCAAATGTTACAAAAAATGGAACTTTTCGCAACGTTCAATAAACGTTGCAAAAAGTCCACTTTTTGCAACATCCGGTGAACGTTGCAAAAGAACATTTTTGCAACGTTTATTGAACGTTGCGAAATGCAACATTGGCAACATCTATTTAAAAAATGTTGCCAAAACTCAATTATTTTAATCAATGGCAACATTCACTTATTAAAATATTGCAATAGACCCCTTTAGCAACACTTAACTACTAAATGTTGTCTTTTATGTGTTGCAAATGACCATTTTTGGTTTAGTGTTAGCAAGAATCAAATCAAATCTGTCAAAATTCGGTTTTATGATTGGCTTAATCTACCTTTTTTGTACACTCCATCTTCTTTCTTGCAGCCGTTAATACTTTAAACAATTTGGGACATAAACATTAAAACGAAACGTGCATCTTGTAAAAGTGTCCATCTAAAAATTATATAGGGTTACAAAACTTACCACTAATATATTTGACTTTCTAATGGCAGATTTTTCCTTAAGTAAACAAATGACAGCATGCACCAGTCAATATATATATATATATATATATATAATATAGGGTTACAAAACTTACCACTGATATATTTGACTTTCTAATGGAAGATTTTCCTTAAGTAAACAAATGACAGCATGCACCAGTCAATATATATATATATATAAAACATTAATTAGTACAGTTGTTATCCTTAGATTTGTTACTCTTTAAAAGAAAGATAACAAAGTTCTTTCTTGGTAGAAGGTTGATCTTCTTCCATGTTAAAATCCAAAACTAAAAGCATAAAAACCAAAACTCAACATGACAATATCCCATAAACATAAATTGATAAAATCATAATCATAAATTCATTCAAATCATAAGAACTAAAAACTTAAAATCTTCCTTTGTAAATCATAAATTCTTGCCCCTCCATTGTAAGAAATTAAAAATTCATATCCCAAATCATAAATTCAAATCATTCATATCCAAACATTCATACCTATAGCTCCTTCCCAAAATTTCTTCACGTGTATATTTCGTCAGTAGTTGCTATTTTTAGTTGAAGGTAGGCAGTTGGCAGTTTACTACTCCGATGGGAGGTGAACTGTGGATAGGAAAAGATTTAGGGTTAAAAAAAATCGGAAATTTCAATTTGGCTTTCAAAAATTTCAAATGATGCATGAGGTTGAATTTTGAAGAAAGAAGAAAAGAGAGGAATCAAATGAGTCTGTGATGGATTTGGACTAAAATTTAACAAAGTTAGTTTTAAGAATTGGGCAAAAAATTAAAACAAATAATTAGTTTTAAGAATTTGGCTGGGCTTGCCAAGTGATATTAATTGTTGGTGGGCTATACGCTAAAATTAAAACCATTTCCTATAAATTTGTTTTATTTTTTGTAGGATCTGGACTTGGAGGGTTGTAATAGCCTAGTGCAACCCACTGCCAAATCCGCCCATGTCAACCACTCTGAAGGACTTTGAATATGCTTGTGAACAGATTTAGAAACAAATTAAAAAAAAAAATTATTATAGGGAACAGCCCGCTTTTTCAATATTTTGTGTGACATGATATTTTGAAAACACGATTGAGTTTTTGTTATTAATGTAGTTTAGCGCGAGTGCATAGAACACGAAAGAGCTCATGAACGGCTATATTTCAATTCTGCAAATATTTTGAGAGGAGTTTCTTTTCCTACTGTTTCGCATAAGAACAGGTTTTATTGTTGCTACTTGCTAAGCAACTTTTTCTATGTATAGTTTATCATTTTTGTAGCTGGAAAGGATAAAAATAGGAAAATGGTGATCGTAGGTATTGAATGAGGGAGAAAGACCTTGAACTAATGAAATTTTACCTAAAAAAATTGTTTTAGCTCCTGCTTATCTTAATTCTTTTTTTCTAAGTCTTTGTTTGTCAACCATTCTACCACATTATTTTTCAATTCTCATTTTCAACTATACATTCTTCATTAAAATAATATTCCACATAAATTAAAAAAAAAAATTCTTCTTTTTTAACCATATGTTTCAACATCAATCAACATTCTGTAATACACTTTTTGAAATTAAATGGGTACAAACAGGCTCTAAATGTGGTTCTGTATATTTGAAGGAGATCCCCTGATCCTTAGAATTTCGATAACTTTTTCTCCTTGTAGTAGAACACCAAATGAAATAAAACATTAACATCAAAATTTATGTATAGCCACTGTAATCCATGAAGTTGTCTGGGAGTCAGATGATGAAGAAGATGCTGAGTATGCAATGCAGAATCAGATTAAAGGAGAGGAAAACATGAGTATAAGATGTTGAATAGCTTCATTCTTTCTTTACGTTTTTTGATTCCATGGCTAAATTTTGTCTGTGCACAAGCTACATTTATGTATTTACTCCTAATATAGCGCTTTCTTGCGGACATGGAGAGAGATTATGAGGAGGAGCTGAGGCCTAAGGATATCTTAGATGATGAAGAGATGCTAGACGAGCCTGAAGAAGAATATGCTGATGCTACACCTAAGGAAGTGGAAGCTGTTCCGCCACTGGTGTTGGAGATGTCCATGAGCCGTGGAAGGTTTGTCTCTTTGCTTATTTGATGGAGCTATTACACCTCAGCCCATGTTTCAGTTTTCTCTTAAATCTTTGTTAGAAAATTAAAGACTTGTGTTTCTATTACCACATAGAAGACCATGTTTATAGGGCTATAAATAACTATAAAAGAAAAGATTGTGTGATAATAAGACAATCAAACTATTAAGGAAAATAATCTCACACAATTGAGAAAAAATCATAGAGATTATTCTTTACATTCTTTTCATATTTTCAACACCCTCCCTCAAACTCAATATAGTGTAGTGACAATCAAATTGAGTTTGAAAATTAAATTGATCTAAATCAAATATTTCTCTTCCAAGGATCAAATGATACTTTAAAATTGATTGTATGCCAACCAATCCAAACAAAGAACTCAAAGTTGATAAGGATGAAAAGTCATCATCCACCAAGATAACCAAACCATCACCAAGACTTGAAGGAGAAACTCATAAGTATAACGAACAATGTCAAAACAAGAACCTCAAATGATTTTAATAACCAGATAAGCAAAGATAGGCCATGTTTAATAGTAGCACTCCAAAAATCCATGGGTAGTACAGCACTACACTTATAGATGGAGGAAATACAGATTAAACAGGAACTCTGGCACACAAGGATGCTAAAACAATTGATGTGATGGGAATAAATTCAATGAAAACATAACATGATAATTCTCAGTTTTCTTGAAACCCAACTTTCCAAGATAAAAAGAATAAGAATAGCCAACATCTAATTGGGAGGTGAATTAATCTGAACTCCAAATTTAGATTAGATCAAGAACAAGAAATATGGACAAAATTTGAGTAGACATGGATATTTAATCAAAATAAGAAAACTTGACTGGATGAGCAACACAAGGCTGCTCGCCGAAGAACAAAAGCTTACAAATTTAATCCAAAATGAAGTTAAACCCTCTCTGATACTATGTTAGATTATTATAAATTGTATATTATAAACTTGTGTTTCTATTACAACATAGAAGATCATATTTATAGGGCTGTAAATAAATCTAAAAGAAAAGATTGTATGATAATCACATAATCAACTATTAACGAAAATAATCTCACACAACTAGGAAATTATCATAGGGATTACTCCTTACAATCTTTTCATATCTTCAACAATCTTAATTTATAATTACATGCTAATACATCGGAAAAAGAACTCTTCTGATTTAATTCTTTATGCTAATTTATAACGCATGTAGTTATAAATTAACACATAGTCACTAAAAAGAGGGGAGAGAAAGGTGAGCAAAATTCTTAATAGATTATATGATTGAGACTATATGGATTTAACTATAAAGTTCCAAAATTACGCCTTCAAGCTAAAATCTGCTCAGGATGTGAACCTGATTCAGGGTTTGAACTTCTCAAACTTTCAGGATACTTTTGCAAGACTTCGCCGTGTAATAATCAGAACCTCCATAATTTGGTAATATCTTCACTGTTGAATGCCTGAATACTTACTTTCTATTGTCCTTTCTTCATTTGTACTTGGTTGTCAATAAGGGAGAGTTGTGCAATCATTAAATATTTTTTAACATTAACATAGACTGTACTTAGTTTTGTTTAGGTAAACGTTTAGAACATAGAAATAGACCATGAACTTCGATGATAACAAAAATGTGAAGTTGTGTGATTAGCCCAACTGGAATATTTAATTAAATAAGCCTAAGGCCTGGCTACTTGCACCACTAGCTTTCTTGTAGTAGTAGTACTTTCCATTTACTCATTTCTCTCTTCGGCTTATCATTTAATTCATAGTTATCAATTGTAATAATGAGTTGCCCTATTGGTAAATAGCATTACAAACGCATAAAAATCTATACTCAAGACTCAACTCAAATGAAGCTCCAATCACGTAAAATAAAGAACAAACAGTAGCTTGCAATTTTATAAGATGTTCTTTCTTCTCTAACTTTTCCGTGTCATCAACTTAAGAATATATCACTTTTGGGGGGTTTTAAGTAAGTCTAGAGGTTAGCTGTTAGAAATTTTCGAGTTGACATTTTACATTTCAAGTTTATAGGATATTAGTAGTGAATTGGTTCAATCCAGCTTTAGCAAGAATCAAATGGATTGAGTCAAAACTTGGTTTCGTAATTGGTTCTAGGTTCATGTAGTACGATCTTTTTTAAATTTGAAAAAATGGACCAAAATAAAGCAAGCATGAGCAGTTTGAATTGGACTAAACTTAAATATGATGAGTTCTAGTTACCTCGTGGATTGACATCCCATTTGATCAGTTTAGTTGGAAAGAAGGTGGAAGGGGAAGGTAACAACGACTAAAATATGATAGCATGTTTGGTAAGTTGGTTATGACAATATTAAAGAAGAAAAGTTACAGTCTTATTTCTTATTATCATCCGATCCTACCTAATAATACATGTCTAAATAACATGAAAGCGCCACACATTTAGTTTCTGTTCTTTTCGATTTTCATTCACTCCTTTACCTGATAATTCTTCTGTTTTTTGAAATCCCTCTTTAATACTTATATATTCAAATCAAGAAAATTGAGTTAATTACTCAAGGAAAAAGTGTCTTCATATACTTTTTATATTAGAATTGATATAAAATTGGAATCAAAGGATCTTTAGAGATCTTTTTGTTTGTAAATTATCCATTAATAAATATTACCGGAAGAAAAAACTAGAAATAATATGGTAGTCTAATAAATGAGTAACATATCTAGTGAGATTGTATTCGTTGTAATTTACCTCAATCAAAATTGATATATAATGTTTGCTGAATTCAGAACAATAGTGATTCACAAGAGACATCAACCACATACCAAGTAGATCCAATACAGTACACTGGTTAAGAAATGGTGGCTCTTGCAATTGACTCGTCAACTCTTTTGAATGCTTGAAATAAGGGAAAATGAGTTAAACATTTCTTTGTAAATATATCATCGTTCTATGCACTTGATTTATCTTGAATATAGGGAATCGAGTTTTCTGAAAATATGTTCAGTGAAGGGAAGCATTTCCAAACCCATTCCATTTTTATTGCAGTATGTCTTCTCTATCTCTTAGGATTATCGGCATGTCTTCAGCTTTCATGAGTTTCTCAAGTTTGAACTTTGTACTTGCCAAATTTAAATGTGTACTTCACCCTACCTTTCCCTTGCACTCTTGTTTGTCTTCATTCTTGTCCTCGGTAGTTCTATTAGCTGCTCACTTTCTTGATGTGTGTGCTGTTTTGTGTTTTTCTGACTTTTGTAAATGAACAGCTATTAAGTGTATAAATTATGTTCCCTTTCTTACAATGACAGTGAGAGAACATATCAACTTCGTTGGAAATTGGTTTCCAAATTAACATGAAAGATCAGAAATTGGTTAAGTAAAAATTGAAATCGGAGAGTGTGACTAACGTGTTAACTTCGGCTGAATATTCGGACTTGATCCAACGATCAAATTACAAAAGTAAAAAGGTCAACTTGTTTTACTCATCGAATAGATGATCGTAGTATATTTGGACATTAAAAACCAATTCCGGGTGAATGAGAAATTGCAATCCAAAAATTGGAGGAAAATATGGTGGAAAAGGGCAAAAATACACCATCGCTCGATGTTCGCTTGCTCGAGCGAAATTTGAGCAAAGTATGTTCTGCTCGAATTTTTAAAGCGCTGCTCGAGCGAAAAGCTAGTGAAGATGGAATGTTGCAACGATTCGAAAGATTGCACGATTTAGCCCATACCACTTCATCCACACCCCTTCATCCTCTATAAATAGAATCCCTTGGACGTCCCTAAGAGAACACCAACTCATTTTTTGCATTGAGCATTCTTCTTTTCTTACAAAATCTCTCTTCCTTTTTCTTGCATAAAATCCCTTTGTAAAGGGGAAAATTTCGTCGGTTCTTGTGGTGTGAAGTGCTACTACCACAAGATTAAACATTCGTTGTATCTTGAGAGACAAGTGTCATCAACCGTAAGCACCATAGCAGGGCAATATTGTCTTAAGGAGAAAGTGTCATCACTTGTCTCGGATTTCATTTCTTTTTCTTCTCCTTTTCTTGTTTCATTTTGATACCTTGATTTTGTGGTTTTGTACTACACTTTCAAGTTCACATATCGATAGTTTGATCATGCTCCTGCGGGTTAAACATTAATTTGTTTTGATACAAACATCAACATCCATCATACCGCTCACATAAACCCCGGAACCAACAATCTTAAAACAGTATTTGTCGGTGGTTGTTTTGGTTTTATTTTGGTTTAACCCACACTTTGTTCTTCATTTTGGAATAGTCTTTGTGCACTGTTCCATTCCCTTACTTTGCGTTGTGATAATCTTCTATTTTTGTAACAGAAATGAGTACTGTAGAGGCTTCAAGTCAAAATGGTACAAACATGGTTACGCCTATGGCTATAAACACTTCAATCCTGCATGGTGAAAAATCGAAAAAATTTAGTGGTGTGGATTTTAAGAGATGGCAACAAAAGATGTTATTCTATCTCACTACCTTCAATTTGGTAAAGTTCTTAAAAGAGACTGCACCATCCGTACAAGAGGGAGAAAATAATGGTGAGTCGATTATTGCGTTGGAAACATGAAAGCACTCGGACTTTCTATGCAAAAACTACATTTTGAATGGGTTGGAGAATACACTATATGAGGTGTATAGTTCTAAAAACTCGGCCAAGGAATTGTGGGATTCTTTGGAAAATAAATACAAGACCAAGAATGCTGGAACCAAGAAGTTCATTGTGGGCAAGTTTTTGGACTACAAAATGGTAGATACCAAAACTGTGATAAGCCAAGTGCAAAAAATTCAAGTCCTCTTGCACGACATACATGCCGAAAAGATGGAACTAAGTGAGTCCTTTCAAGTGGCTGCCATCATCGAGAAACTCCCTCCTATGTGGAGAGATTTCAAGAACTATCTCAAGCACAAACGTAAGGAGATGAATTTGGAAGAATTGATCATTCGCTTGAGAATTGAATAAGACAATAGGAAAAATGAAAGGAAACCTATTGACGAACTTGGAGCAAACTTTGTTGAAACAGAACAAAGGCCTTTGAACAAGAAACGAAAGATCTCAAATGATGCACCGCGTAGAGATAACTCCAAAAAGGCGAAAAAGTTCAAAGGGAAATACTATAATTGTGGAAAGGCCAGACATTGTTCAAATGAATGTCGAAAGCCTAGGAAACCTACTCAAGTTAACATGATTGAGAAGGACAACCTTTCCGAAGGAATGCAGGAGATGAGTCTATCTGCAGTTGTGTCCGAATACATGGTTGGAATCATAAGGGAATGGTGGGTAGATATCAGTGCAACCCGTCATGTGTGTGCTGATAGGGCAATGTTTTTCAACTATCAAGAACTGAAAGGAAAACAACTATTCGTGGGGAATGTTGCAAGTTCCAAGATTGAAGGACAAGGCAAAGTCACTTTAAAGATGACATCTAGAAAAGAGCTAGTCCTCAACAACGTTCTACATGTGCCGGATATTCGAAAGAATCTTGTGCCCAGATCTCTTCATAGTAAAAATGGTTTTAAACTTGTATTTGTATCCGATAAATTTATATTGTCTAAGAATGAGATATATGTAGGAAAAGGATACATGTGTGACGGAATGTTCAAAATGAACATTCTAACTGTTGTACCGAAACAAGGCATTATAAATAAAGTAACAAATTCTGTTTACTTGCTTGAGTCTTGTTTATGGCATAATCGAATAGGACATGTGAATTATAATTTGTTGCGCAAACTTATGAATCAAAGTTTAATTCCAGCACTTGAAATTGATCCTAATCACAAATGCGAAATATGTGTTAAGCAAAATTGGCTAAAACACTGTTCCATTCAATTCAAAGGAACACGATACCTCTAGAATTAATCCATAGTGATATATGTAATTTGAAATTCGTTTAAACTAGAGGCAGTAAGAAATATTTTGTATTTTTTATCGATGATTGTACAAAGTATTGTTATATCTTTCTTTTAAGAAGCAAAGACAAAGCCGTAAATGCATTTAAACAATATAAGGCTGAAGTTGAAATACAACTTGACAAACGAATTAAAAATATTCGTAGTGATCGAGAAGGTGAATATGGGGCATCATTTGAAGAATTTTGTTCTGAACATGGAATCATTCATCAAACAATGGCTCCATACTCTCCTCAATCTAATGGAATTGCTGAACGCAAAAATCGAACTCTTAAAGAGATAATGAATGCAATGTTAATAAGTTCGAATTTACCTCAAAACTTGTGGGGGAGGCTATCTTAATGGCAAATAGTCTTCTCAATCGGATACCGCTTAAGAAAATGGAAGAAACACCATATATGTTATGGAAATGTCATTCTCCTTCCTACCAACACTTAAAAGTGTGTTGGGGGGGGGTTTGGCAAAGGTTGAAGTATCCAGGCCTAAACAAATTAAAATTGGTCCCAAAACAATCGATTGCATATTTATTGGATACGCCAATAATAGTAGTGCATATCGTTTCCTAGTACACAAATTTGATATTCAAGATGTACACGAGGGTACCATAATTGAATCAAGGAATGCAGTATTCTTTGAAAACATATTTCCTAACAACGATAGGGAAATGTCAAGTTCAAATAAGAGAACTTGTGAATCTGCAAATGGATTTTCAAATGAGGAAGAATCAAGGCGCAGTAAGAGGGCTAGAACATTCATAGCATTTGGTCAGGATTTTCTGACTTATATGGTAGAAAATGATCCAAGGACTTATGAAGAAGCGATGTCTACACTGGAAGCACCGCATTGGAAGAAGCTATCAATAGCGAGATAGATTCCATAATGCAAAATCATACTAGGAAATTGGTAGAGTTACCTCCCGGAAATAAGCCTTTAGAGTGTAAATGGATATTCAAAAAGAAATTGAAACCGAATGGATCCATTCACAAATATAAGGCTAGATTGGTTATCAAATGATATAGGCAAAAAGAAGAACTTGACTTCTTTAATACCTACTCACTTGTAATGAAAATCACCTCGATAAGGTTGTTAATTGCAATTGCGGCAATACATAACCTTGAGATTCATCAAATGGATGTAAAAATGGCATTTCTAAACGGCAAGTTAAAAGATGAGATATATATGAAAAAACCTGAAGGGTTCGTGTCTCCAAATGAAAGCCATAAAATATGTAAACTTGTTAAGTCGATATACAGCTTAAAATAAGCTCCTAAGCAATTGCATCAGAAGTTTGACAAAATAATGTTGTCAAATGGATTTAAAATAAATGAATGTGACAAGTGTGTATATGTAAAGAATACACCGAATGCCTATGTGATAGTATGTCTAAATGTAGACGATATGTTGATAATGGGCAATAATCACGAAATGTTAACAAACATCAAGAAAATGCTAACAAGGCATTTTAACATGAAAGACATGGATGTGGCAGATGTAATACTAAGGATAAAGATCTCTAGAACATCGGAAAGGAATCGTATTTTCCCAATCTCATTATGTTGAGAAAATACTTAAGAAGTTTGAAGTATTTGAGGAAAGTCCTACAAAACTCCTATTGACACAAGTCTACACTTGGTCAAAAATAAGGGAGAAAGCGTGTCACAACTAAGATATTCACAAATAATTGACAGTCTAATGTATGTTACGAACTGCACTCGACCGGACATTGCGTTTGCGGTGAATAAACTTAGTAGATTCACGAGTAATCCAAATCATGATCATTGGGGGCATTAATAAGGGTCCTTAAGTCTTGAAGTATACGACATATGGATTACATTTCACAAAATATCCTATGGTATTAGAAGGATATTGTTACACGAATTGGATATCTGATATGAAGGATTTCAAATCCACAAGTGGCTATGTGTTTACACTTGGTGGAGCTGCTATCTCATGGAAATCTTCAAATAAAATGTATATAGCTCAATCAGCTATGGAATCAGAGTTTATTGCTTTGGATAAAGCTGGTAAAGAAGCAGAATGGCTTCAAAATTTTTTAGAAGATGTTTCATGTTGGCCTAAGCCGATACCAGCCATAAGCATACACTGCGGTAATCAATTGGCTATTGAAAGGGCTAAAAGCAGCATGTACAATGGTAAGTCTAGACATATATGTCGGAGACATAATACCATTAAGCAACTGATCTCAATTGGCATCATCTCCATAGATTATGTGAAATCAAAGGAGAATGTTGCGGATCCACTTACAAAAGGTTTGCCAAGAGATCAAACACGTTGCCTATCGAGAGGGATGAGATTAAAGCCTACTACGTTAGAGTCCTTGTAATGGTAACCCTACCTTGTTGATTGGAGATCCCCAAGATCTTGATTCAAAGGGACAACTAAGTTATGAGGATTCCATGAAGCAC